GAGCACAGTACAACAAATTGTCAGAGGAGTAGATTGCCAAAATATGGCGGTATCCTTTTAGGTGTCTAAGTGTTGGTGTTAGGTTAGGGTTCATATCTAAAGGTCACAGAGGACTTGGATATCAGTGTTATATAAGAAATGGCTACTGGATTTTAAATATCTTAAATATTATTGAGGTGAATCTTTAGAATCTTTATAAAGAGGGACCCATATGTTCATCAAACATTGAACTCTAGTTCTCTGAATTGGTTAATACCAAAAAAATTGGTAAGGAGCTTTGATTTCCATCTCAAAGGAAGAATTCCATACTCAGCTCTTATCCTTGATTTTTTTCCCAGTTATACTAATTAAATGCCATTTTAACAGCTACTCATTTCTCCTCATTGTAGTGTCCTTATGATCTTAAGCTAGAGCAACCCATCTCTGTTATCCAGGTCAACTCTCTCCAGATGTCTGGTCAACCGAGAGCTGTAATAACAAACACTGAGTTTCTGAAGAACAGAAAATTCCGAGTTAAGACTGCACCGTCCTGCCCTGCCCAGTTTACCAGAGTGCTGGCTCTGTGCCTTTGTACTTGCCAGTCCCCATAGCATTTGAGGTAATCTCTTAAAATACGTTATACACAAACCAACAAACTCATCGCCATCAAATCATACCAACCCTATAGGACAGACTAGGACTTCCCCTGTGGGTTTCTGAAGCTGTAACGATTTACAAGAGTAAGAAACCTTATTTTTCTCCCACAGAATCACTTGTGCCTGAAACTAGATCATCTTCAGACATGTGATGACAAAGTAATATGAGCTGATTTGGGTGCAAACCAATTTTGAAATCTATGGTTTTCAAAAGACACATAAATCGAAGCAATGGGAGATGTTAAGTGTACACACTTAGAGGTCCTTAAGACAATATTCTTGGGTGATTGTTAGGATCTAGAACGCAGATCCCCAAGGTCTTGGTGACCCATGTAGACTCTCCAGCAAGGCAGAACAACAACTGTCTTTACTTCCTGAGAGAAGCTGACCGGTACCCCCCTGGAGTGCGTAAGGAAACTGAACGGAGAGTCCCGCCCTCAGCTGCTGCAGCCAATCGCAGAGGCAGAGTGAGAAGCAGCATACGTTATATTAGCAGATAGGGAAGTTCAGCGAGATCAGTCTCCAAGACTGCCTTGTTTTATCTTTTTCTGGGAGTCAGTCCAGTCCCTTGTTATGTTTAATTTTTAAAAATCTATAGCCATCCCATCCAGGAGTATAATCTATACCTTTGTGTCTGTCAGTGCCTCTAGGCTGATTCTTTAAGGTGATTTTT